AGAGGTAGGGGCCGGGTGAGGCCGAGGACGCACCCGTGGTGCAGCCAGAGCACTCGTGCGAGCTGCTACCGAGGAGCCACCAGCAGCTCCAGTCAGAGCCCAGGCACCTGATATGCCTACTACTACTACTATTCCAGCTCTACTACACCTACTACACCTAATACGCCTACGCCTACTGCTACTACTCTTCAGGAGACTCTTGTACAGTTCGTGAGCATGTACACCACCCTAGCTCATGCAGAGTTGATTCCCCTTGCTGCAGCCACATCCTAGGCTGGGGGAGGAGCACAGACTCCCGCCGCCCGCACTCCTGAGCAACGAGTCCAGGTTGATTAGATCCTAGAGGTTATACCGATACCGCCTGCAGTCCCAGTTCAGCCTGAGGATAGGGAAGCAACTTCAGAGGTTGAGCAGTGGAGGCTTGAGAGGTTCAAGAAGTATAAGCCTCCTATATTCAGTGATCTAGCATAAGATGACGCCCTAGGATTTTTGGAGGAGTGTTACCGTATCCTCCGCACTGTGGGTATATCGGGATCGAGTGGGGTTTCTTTCACTGCCTTCCAGCTTCGAGGAGCAACCTATTAGTGGTGGAGTACTTTGGCATTGGACAGTCAGCTGAGGCAGTTTCCCTTACTTGGACTCAGTTTTCAAATATGTTCCTGAGAGAGTTTGTCTCTCAGAGCCTCAAGGACGCATGGCGTGCAAAGTTTGAGCATTTGCGCCAGGGCACTATGACTGTTTTGGAGTATGTTGTCTGTTTTACTGACTTGGCTAGGCATGCACCAGCCTTAGTTTCTATAATTCGTGAGAGAGTTTGCTAGTTTATTGAGGGGCTCATTCCCAACATCAGGTCTAGTATGGCTCCGGAGTTGAAGATGGATATTTCTTATCAGCAGGTGGTGAGCATTGCTAGGAGAGTAAAGGGTATGCATGCTCGGATTAGAGAGGAGAGGGAGGCCAAGAGGTCTCGAGAGTCGGGCCATTATTCTGGTGCCCGTGCCCCAGCTACAGTTCGTCATGGTAGGGGTTATATGAGTCGCCCCGTTCATTCAGCTCTTCCAGCAGCCTGTGGTATTCCAGCTCCTTCTAGACCTCAGGAGCCTTATATGCACCTCCAGTATCTAGTACGCCTCCTACGCAGGGTGCTTTCAGTGGTCAATCCAGCAGACCTAAGCCAAGCCAGTCACAGCCGCCACGTCCTCCCAGAGCTTGTTTTGAGTGTAGTGACACACGCCATATGATGAGGGATTGCCCCAGACTTAGGAGGGGTGCACCTCCACAGACTTCTCAGCCACAGCGTGCCCCGCAGAGTTCCCAGGCTATGATCACAGCACTAGTTGCTGCCCCACCTACTCAGTCGGCTAGAGGTGGAGGTCAGGGAGGTAGAGGTCGTCCTAGAGGGGGAGTCTAGGCCAAATATTATGCCCTTCCTGCCCGTACCGAGGCTGTCGACTCCAATTCTGTCATCACAGGTATTGTCCTGGTTTGTCATAGAGATGCATCGATTTTATTCGATCCAGGCTCCACCTATTCTTATGTATCTTCTTATTTTGCCCCGCATTTGGGTGTATCTCGGGATTCTTTGAGTTCCCCTATTTATGTTTCTACTCCTGTAGGAGATTCTCTTGTTATGGATCACGTTTATCGGTTGTGTTTGGTTGCTCTCAGTGGTTTTGAGACCAAAGCCGATTTATTATTGCTCAGCATAGTAGATTTTGATGTTATCTTGGGCATGGACTGGTTGTTGCCCCATTATGCTATTCTTGATTGTCACGCCAAAACCATGACGTTGGCTATGCCAAGTGTACCGCGAGTAGAGTGGATGGGTACTTTAGATCAGACTCCCAGTAGAGTTATTTCTTTCCTTAAGGCTCAACGAGTGGTTGAGAAGAGGTGTGACGCGTATATAGCTTATGTGAGAGATGTCAGTATTGATACCCCTACAGTTGATTCAGTCCCAGTAGTACGGGATTTTTCTGATGTGTTTCCAGCTGATCTTCCGAGCATGCCGCCCTATAGAGATATTGATTTTGGCATTGATCTGTTGTCGGGCACTCAGCCCATTTCTATTCCTTCGTACCGTATGGCTCCTCCTAAGTTGAAGGAGTTGAAGGATCAGTTATAAGAATTGCTTGATAAGGGTTTTATTCGGCCCAGTGTATCACCTTGGGGTGCTCCTGTCTTGTTTGTGAAGAAAAGGATGGTTTCATGCGTGTGTGCATTGATTGTCGCCAGTTGAACAAAGTTACAGTGAAGAACCGGTATCCTTTGCCTCATATTGATGATTTGTTTGACCAGCTACATGGTGCACGAGTATTTTCTAAAATTGACTTGCGTTCAGGTTACCATCAGTAGAAAATTCGAGAGCCAGACATCCCAAAGACTGCTTTCAGGACTCGATATGGTCATTACGAGTTCCTTGTTATGTCATTTGGGCTGACCAATGCCCCAGCAGCCTTCATGCATTTGATGCACAGTATGTTTTGGCCATATCTTGACTCGTTCGTCATTGTCTTTATTGATGATATTCTGGTATACTACCGGAGTCGGAAAGATCATGAGCAGCATCTGAGGACAATGCTTCAGACTTTGAGAGAAAAGAAGTTATATGCAAAGTTCTCGAAATGTGAGTTTTGGTTGGATTCTGTGGCATTCTTGGGTCACATGGCATCGAGTGAGGGGATAAAGGTGGATCCGAAGAAAGTGGAAGCAGTGCAAAGTTGGCCTAGACCATCCTCAACTACAGAGATCCACAGTTTTCTTGGCTTGGCGGGTTATTACCGTCGATTTGTTGATGGGTTTTCATCTATTGCAGCACCTATGACCAGGCTGACTCAAAAGGGTGCTCCGTTCTAGTGGACGGAAGAGTGTGAGGCGAGCTTCCAGAAACTCAAGACAGTTTTGACTACAGCCCCAGTTTTGATATTACCTATAGGTTCGGGGTCTTATACTGTCTATTGTGATGCCTCGAGGATTGGCCTTAGAGCGGTATTGATGTAGGACAGTAGGGTGATTGCCTACACGTCCAGACAGTTGAAGGTACATGAGAAGAATTATCTTGTCCATGATCTCGAGTTAGCTGCTATTGTTCACGCCTTGAAGATCTTGCGTCATTATTTGTACGGTGTTCCTTGTGAGGTTTATACTGATCACCGGAGCTTGCAGCATCTGTTCAAGCAGAAGGATCTTAATTTGCGCTAGAGGAGGTGGTTAGAGCTGCTGAAGGACTATGATATCACCATCTTGTATCACCCGGGCAAGGCCAATATGGTGACTGATGCTTTGAGTCACCGGGCGGAGAGTTTGGGGTACATCTGCCGCGTCCGCAGACCGAGGAGTCCCTCTCTATTCTCCCCTCTAGCTTTAGCTCTCCTGTATTTACTTTTGTTTAGACATTCTGGAGTTAGAACACTTTGTAGTTATTCAACAGCTTGTGATTCCATGAGATTCCAGGTTTTGGGAGTGTTTGTACTGATCGAGAGTGCTGTTATTGTATATGTCGAGCGGTATCTTATATTTTTCTATTTTATTACGCATAAATTGCTAGTTTTCGTATCTTTGTTTCAGTCTTCCACAAATTGTTAGGCTTACCTAGTCGTAGAGACTAAGTGCCGTCACGACAGTTCACGGAGGGAGAACTTGGGTCGTGACAATATGTTGTTAATTACTCATATGAAGGGAACAACGAATAGAATTTAATTACTCCATAACTTGAAATGATCGCCTAGCTCTGACAAATTTCTCAAAGCTAAATATGATTAAAAAAATAAATTAAATTCTCCTCTTTTTAATCTAGAAACTATATTCAACTGTTCGTTTTTAAGAGTCTCTGATTGTCTTGACATACCTACAATAGAGTTGAAGGAAATCATGGAGAAGTCTGCCTAGGGACAAAATAATAGAAGAATCTTCAAACTTTAGATTTCGTCATATAGATGAGGAAGTCATGTTTATATTTGTTTGCTGACGTAGCTCTATAAATTCAATCAGACTTATTACTTATAATTTACACAAATTACATTCAGAAACGGCAACGGATTCCTATTCAGAGCACCTTTTTAAGCAAGCGGTTTCCTTGGAGGTTAGAACTTAAAATCCTTGTAAGACTTTGTGGTATAGTTGATGTAGAAAATCCAAAATTGACAAATATTTAATTGATATCAAAATCCTAATTATCCGGTAAAATCCTAAACACAACAATCCCATGCAATATAGAATTATCTCTTTTAAAAAAACAATTTAATTTCTAAATGGTACCTAAAAGTGTATCAGTATTTTCATTACTATCAATGATTAGAATTATAAATTAATTTAATTAAAAGTAAAGCTGTTGTTTATTTATAACTTTTTACGAAGCCATAAAGTAAGTTCTCACTTCTCAATTGTTGTTGTCACCAATATTTAATGTTTGTTATTTTAATTTCAGTCGTGAAGTATATTATTTTTTCTCATTTTTGAGTTGGTGATGCACTCGATTCCTACCAAATTATAAGCTAATGTCAGGTAAAATTTCCAATGAAGTAACACCAGCTAGCATAAACATAGTGGTCGTTACCGGTGTGTTTGGGCAGTAAAATCCAGAGGGCAGCTTATACTTAAAACTCTGATTCCAAATAATATTCAGCGACCGTATATATCAATTAAGAACTCTGATTCTACCGTAGGGTTTCCTTTTTTAAACCGAAGTAGCATTTTAATTTAGGTTAAGATTAGAGTAAAATAAAGGCATAAAAGTCCATTAATATTTCAAGGATATTTTTGTCGTTCAATATTTAGCGTGTAACATTCGTGTTTTATAATAAATATAGAAGATAGTTCTATAAGTAAAGATTTATACAAGTGATCCGAACTTGTTTAGGACTGACTAATGCATAGTTATTGTTGTATTATTCGACACTACAGAAAGACAAAATATGAGATTATATATTGCTCAAGAAAACTCATATTATAAAATTTTCTCTTATTCAATAATTGTGTCAATTAAAAAATTGACAAACAAATTGGAAGAATGAAATAATTTTATTCAAATAGAGGAGCAAAAAATAATTAATTAGGTAAAACAAAATAGTCCCAAGGGACAAAACATAAACATAATGAAGTAATTGTAATTTTTTTGAAGGTTACATCAAAAAAGTTTACACCTTCATCATGCCAGCCTCATAGGGAATATCAGCCTTAGGAAGGAAGCTATTATCTGTGGGATTAATAAATACACCAGCAGTAAATGAATTTGCAACATCTCCTGAAATTCCCCTCTGGTAACCTCTCCAATGACTAACCCTTTTGTCAAGGCTAGCTCCTGCACCTCTATTCTGATACTCAGCGTACCAACAAGTATGTATTCCAAAATCAGTTATATTCCATGGAGCCCACCCTGATGGATCAATGAATCCGTCGATAAACGATTGCATGATTATTGTTCGTGAATATTCCTTCCATGGACGTCCAAGAAACGCCTTCATTTGTGGTTTTGCTGCTAGGAACTCTGGTTCTGCTTTGATCTCACAATTTTGTATAACGAATGCACCTTTCGAAGCAGATGTGGTCCTTCCCTGAGCAGTTACCATGCAATTCTGCCCATCACCTGGCCTCCTTACTATTAATTTGCAGTTTTGGAATACGGCAGCTGCATCACCAAACACGAAATCTATGGTTCCTGAAATGATACAATCGCGATAAAACTGTCTACCAGAGTGTGCGTATAGTGTGTCTTGATAACCATCGATTTTGCAGTTGTAGATAACTGCCTTGTCAGCATTCACTCGTAGTGCAACTGCTTGTTCTTGTGCTGGTCCTGCTGTGTTCTCGAATCCTATATCCCTAGCCACGAAACCTTCTCCACTAACACCTGCACGCAACAATTTGTAATAATATTTAGAAGGGAGTCTAAAGTTGTTGCCATGTAATCAAAAGGTCACTCCTTCAAGAACCTCTAGCAGAAATGCAAGGTAAGACTGCATACAATAGACTCTTGTGGTCCAGAATGCCTTTTTATTAAGTTACTACTATTTAATTTGATTGAGCGCGGATTTTAAGAAGAAGAGAGAGAGAGAAAGACTTACCAACAGTGCAAGTATGCCAAGTTGAACCAATGCCAGGTCCCTTGACGGACTTATTACCAGTAATTTTGGTCTTGGTTGAGCCTTCACCAATAAACACAACGTTTGTCATGCCTTTTTCAACTTCAACGTATTCTTTGTATATACCAGCCTTGATTAGGATAACAAATGGCTCTGTATTCTTCTTTGGCACAGCTTTAAGTGCATCAGTAATGGTCTTATATTGTCCACTACCATCCTGAGCAACCACGGCATTAGGCTTGGCGTTAGAAATTTGCAGAAGCTTACGGTTACTAGCCTCAACAAACGAAGATTCATCAGTAGTTAACAATTTTCGGCTAAGGCCTGTAGTTTGTGTGATCATTTCACCGAAGCTATTGACCATGGCTAGACCATTGATACTTAGCTCCCGAGTTGTGTTCAATAACTTCACCATTTTCTCACCTGTATCACCATCTGTTTTTTCAAAAGCGTCCAAGCAAGTTTCCTCGTAAGCAACCACAGCGCTAAGCCATGTCTTAAGGTCATCGACGATGTCCTTAATTTTGGTTAGATCAAAGCTTTCCAATTTCGATACAGAAGTCCTTAGATCTTCAATGGCAAGATCAAAGAGCTCTTCACAAGCGTGAAGCGCGTCTTTGGTTTTAGGATCACTAGCTGCTTGCATGATCAAATCAGTGTTCATGATTGCATTTCTAATGTCAGTGACAGTAGCTTCAAATGCCACTTTAATAAAATCCTTTGGCTCAGAAGCATTTTTGGCTGAGGAAAGAGTTTTTTCACAAGTTTGTTTGTAAGGTGTAGGTTGGCACATAGCTTTTACTGATTTTGTAGAAGTTGTGACTTGGCCAGAAGATGAAGTTTCATCATTTTTTGTGAGTGTAACACATGCTGCTACAACACAAGCCACCACAAGAATTGAGGCTATTCCACCAATGACCACTTTCTTATTAGCCATTTTTTAAAATTTTCTTGTTTTTGTTTTTTCTTTTTTGGGGATTTTTGGGGGAAGGATCAAAAGGGAGTTTCCCTATGAAACAACCCCTTTGGTTCTCCTTAGTGAAGAGAGAACTCTCAGGGGTTAATTGAGAAGGCTGTGTTTATTTGCTGTTGTTTCTGATTTGTGATTTCTGTCTTATTTATAGTAGTGAGGAGCAATATATTTGTGTGGATTACCTTCAATTTTTGTTGGAATATGATGATCCGAAATGAACTCTGAATCCTCTCTGTTTTAGCGGTACAATTTTTACTTTGTCAATACCATTCATCCAACCAGTTTGCATGACTTGTTCTCTTCCTTAAATTCGCCGAAAAAATATGAGATTTTTTTTCTTCGTTAACATATCATTCGCCTCAAAAAAAAAAATCAATTATCTCCTCAATATGGACTCATTGATTCTTTAATAATAACACTCATGTATTCAGAATAATATTAGTACAATGTTGTCAAAACTTCAAACCACGGCTTCTCAAAAATATTGAAAACTATGAGTAAAATAATCATAGGATAAATTTTTAAGTGAACACGGATTAAGTGATTCTAGAGATAGAGTCGTTGGGTTTTTTTTTTTCTTCCAATAAAGATATCACCAATAACAATGATGAACCTAGTTAAGCCAAAAATAAAGGGAGGAAATAACAATGAAATTTGGCATGCAGGATCAGTCAATTGAATTCTTAATACTCATTGTTATACGTACTTAAAAGCTTCTGTATTCGGCAAAGTATACAGTGGATTGCTTCTCGGGGGTGTCATAAAATAATTACAATCAAGAGCCTTTTATTCTCATGTATATATTGTCAAGACGTAAAACTCTAATTCTTTTTCTCTTCAGTAAAGAAAATCATTTTTCTTGGTGAACTTGGACTCCAAATATAGTTAATTTTGGTAATTTAATGCTTTTCGGCCCTTTGCTAATTTGATCTACGACATTGTTTACAAAAGCTCACGATCAAAATTATATGACGAGAATAAACATTTAATGAATTAACGTATATCAAATTTTTGTCAAGTTTAGATGCTATAGTTAGGTATGATAATCAACAAAGAACTAATTAGGGAGGAAAGTTAAACAATTAATTACTCAATGTAAGCTCCAAAATGTAGACCAGTGTAACAATGAACAAAGATTGAACATATCCATACTCACATACATACAATAATTCAATGGATAAGAGATCACAATTTTAACTACAGTATAATTATCAGCTCGAAATTTTTGGAAGGTTCTTCTTCCTCTATTAGCTCTAAAAAGAGAACTACTTTATGTTGTTGCTATCTTAATTAATATTCAATGCATATTTTTAGCTTATCTAGGCTTCTGAAGTACCAAATCAGATATTTGATAAAGGAAGAGTTCCTTAAATTTACAAGTGATTCTGTTATGTAAATCAGGACAATGCGAGAAATACGTAGGTGTTTCCTCCAGATTCTTATATAAAAATATTTTGAATCAATATTTATGAATGAAGTAGTAATATGCATGTTTACCCTTAAAATGAGTAACAATTAAATTTATACGCGATTTAAAGGATATGTAATTTAATTTAACACGAATGATCAAAGAACAACAAGTAATAAAATTAAAGAAAAACAAAACGATCAAACCAAGTGTGACGAAATAATTAAGCCTATAGTCAGATCTGAATGCTACAGACCGGTTCCAATTGAGCCCTCAGAATAGATCTCGGTTGTAACTGAATGGATGAACAACTTGAAGAACACTTGAACAATTGCTAAAAGACAAAAGTAAACTTTATTGCTTTGATATGCATATCAATCGTGACCCAAAATATGAAAAAGGTTCCCCCTCTTTATATAGTAAAGGAGTTTCAACCCTAATACAGGTCTAAATAAGGTAAAAATCTTTTCTTCCCTTTTCTACCAAGAAAATACGGTTCGCAGTTGATAACGGGATAAGCAAGATGTAATCGGTCATAAGCAAGATGCACTGAGCCTTACTAGTGCCCATGGTAAAGGACCTACGGTGTCCATTCTCCACTTCATGAACTACCAAGGGGAAAGAACCGGGTGAAGCAGCTCCCCCGGTTGGTAGATCACTGGGGCAATGCCTTTGACATTCGTCATATTTTTGAACAAAGTCCTTCACATCCTTTTCCATTTTGTTCCAGTAATATCCGGCCCAGATCAATTTCCGAACCAATGATTCTGCTCCTGAATGGTTTACGCAAGTACCCTAGTGGACTTCCCTCATCACGTAATCGGTCCCGGGCCCCAAACATCTTGCTAACGGTCTGAAAAACGATCTTCAGTACAGTTTTCCTTCAACTAAGCTAAACCTGGCAGCCTTAGTTCGAAGGGCCCTTGATTATTTGGGGTCCGATGGCAATTTTTCCTTCTGAAGGTAGTCTATATATTTGTTTCTCTAATCCCAAGTCAAACTTGTCGAGTTTACCTCGGTGTTGCCTTCCTCTATCACTGAGCTCATTAATTGTACCACCATTCCGGAATTGAATTCATCGGAGTCGACTGACGATGCTAAATTAGCCAACGCATCAGCCTCGCTATTCTGATCCTAGAGCACATGTTGTAGCGTCCATTCTTTGAACCGATGTAATACCACTTGTAATTTATCCAAGTATCTCCGCATCCGGTCTCATTTGACTTCGAACGTCCCATTAACTTGATTAACAATGAGGAGGGAATCGCACTTGGCTTCGATCATCTCAGCCCCTAGGCTTTTAGCCAGCTCTAGACCTGCAATCATAGCCTCATACTCGGCTTCATTGTTAGTCAACTTCACAGTTCTAATTGATTGCCTTATTATGCTACCCCATGGGGGGTTTCAGTACAATCCCCAACCCGTACCCTTTCGCGTTAGAAGTCTTGTCCGTGAATAGGGTCCAGACCCCCGAGTTAATCCCCGAGCCGAGCAATAAATCTTTATCGACCTCAAGGACTAAAGCCGGTGTAAAATCGACCACAAGTCTGCCAATATCTGAGACTTTATAGCAGTTTGGGGCTTATATTCAATATCATACCCACTAATCTCTACGACCCATTTTGCTAGCCGGCCTAAGAGTTCAGGTTTATGCATAACGTTCCTTAGCTGGTACGAGGTCACGACACATATAGGGTAACATTGAAAATATAGTTTTAATTTCCTGGAGGTGCTTAGTAAGGCAAGTGCTAACTTTTCTAGGTGTGGATACCTTGTTTCGACATCACCTAGGGTTCTACTAACATAACAGATAGGAAACTACATACCTTCTTCTTCCCGAACTAGGACACCACTTACCGCCACCTCGGATACTGCCAAGTAAAGGTACAACTGCTCGTTCGCCTTCGGGGTGTGTAGCAAAGGAGGGCTCAATAAGTATTGTTTGAGCTCTTACAAAGCTTTTTATCACTCCGGGGTCCATGAGAAGTCGCTCTTTTTCTTTAGTAACAAGAAAAATTTGTGGCTTTTATCCGATGACCTAGAAATGAATCGGCCAAAATGTGGCTATCCGCCTGGTTAGCTATGCACTTCCTTGACATTGTCAACGATGGTGATATCTTCTATGGCTTTTATTTTATCCGGGTTGATTTCTATTCACTGGTTAGATACCATAAAATCGAGGAACTTGACCGAGCTAACTTCGAAGGCATACTTGCGATGACCCAAAAGGTCATCACTTATTTTTAAAATAAAATCTGCGTCCCAAGGCCTTAAAAACCTCTTTCAGCATCACCTCGATTTGTGTGCGTAATCCGGGCATGTAGCCGGAAAGCTATTATGTGAAAATATTAAAATTTTGACTTAAAATGCATTTAAGTTGACTTCGATCAACATTTTAGGTAAACGGACCCGGACCCATGATTTAACGGTCCCGGAGAGTCCGTGGAAAAATATGGGACTTGGGCGTATGCCCAGAATCGAATTCCGAGGTCCCAAGCTGAGAAATGAATTTTTTAAAGAAAATTATTTTCTGGAAATTTCTATGAGTTTTGGAAATGAAATGCATTTAGAATTCGATGGTATCGGGCTCGTATTCTAGTTCTGGAGCCCGGTACAAGTCTTATATATAAAATAAGATGAGGCTGTGAAATTTGGTAAGAAACGGAAGTCGTTTGAGGTGATTCGGACCCGTAGTTGTGAAAATTTCCTACTTTGAAAGTTCTGAGATTTTTCTTAGATTTCTATGCTAAATTCGTTGTTTAAGAGGTTATTTTGGCGATTTGATCGCACGGATAAGTTCATATGATATTTTTGAGTAGTACGTATATTGGTTTGGAGCCCCGAGGGCTCGGGTGAGTTTCCGAAAGTTTTTGAACTATGGAAAGTTGCAGGTTTCTGCTGTTCAGTGCCTAGGGATTTTGTTCTTCGCGTTCGCGTGGTCCCACTCACGAACGCGTAAGGCAAATATCCCAGGTGCCAGTTTTCTTCTTCGCGAACGCGAAGCCTGAGACGCGAACGCGAGGCTGGGGGGAGGGGGTACCCTTCGCGAACGCGTCCAAGCACTCGCGAACGCGTAAGGTTAAAGGCTTGGGGGAGGGGTTCACATTTTGTTCTATGCAAACGCGGCCAGTGGCCCACGAACGCGAAGGCTCGAGGGGTCAAAGCTCCGCAAACGCGAGCCCAATGTCGCAAACGCGAAGGTCACTGAGGCCTAATTCAGCGCGAATGCGACAGGCCTATCGCGAACGCGATGAAGGCCTGTCCAGTGATTTTAAAACAGAAGCCGAATCAGGATTTAATCAAAATTTCATAACCTCTTCTTCCAAAATCCAAATTGGGCGATTTTTGAAAGGGGATTTCACCACCAATTCATACGTATGTAATCTTAGACTCTTTTTCTTCAATTTCCATTAACACCCATTAGGTTTCTAGGCTTAAATCATGCTCTTAAGGGTAGAAAATTAGGGATTTGGGTAGAGTTAGGGCTTTTTGTATAATTGTTTAAACCTCGTTTTGGGGTCGAATTTTGGAACTAATTATATATTTGGGCTCGTGGGTGATCGTGTTTTGGTCCGAACCTCGAGTTTTGACCAAGCGGGTCCGGGGTCAATTTTTGACTTTTTGGGAAGATGATGGAAAAGCTATAATTAAGCATTGGAATCGGATTGTTTAGCGTTTATTGATGTTATTAAGTCGATTATGTCTAGATACAATTGAT